CTCTATCATACCTAGACTCTCATCAATCACCACCAATGTGTCCATGACATGTGCATATGAGATCGACTGGAGGCTTCCATGCATATATAAACCTCCTGTCACCTCAACTGTCTTTTAGTATTTTGCTTATCACAAAAATCTTGCTTTCTATATTTTAATACCTGATTTAGGGGCAGTATACATGCATGTAGCATAGTCTAACATTATGGAGGTAACCAAACACAATTCATAAAAATCTTGCAAATCTTTTACGGGCCAATGTGTCCGTTGCGCACTCTAACATAAATCACTATTGCTTCCACCAATTGAAAATCTAATAAATCTATTTTAAAATTTTGAGTAGCAATATTTACTATACATAACATATATAAACGATTATGTATTAAAAGAATTTTAAAATACTTTTCTTATATTGATGAATCTAATCATTCCAATCTTGTATGGATCTATATGAAAATAAAATGACGTACCAAGTGTAGAGAGCTCCCGCTCTGTGCGGGGTCTGGGAAAGAGTGTCACTGACAAGCCTTACCCTCGCCTGTGCAATGCGAGGAGACCACGACTCGAACCCGAGACCTTCCGGTCACAGGCGGTAAGACTCTACCGTTTGCACCAGGCCCGCCATTCATGGATCTATATGAAAATATGAAGTTAAAAAAAGTTTGACTTAGAACAAATTATATGTGCTTATATTTGGAGAAAGTACTCATAAATGATCATTATACTGCTGATTTCAAATTGTGCTGTGTGTGGTCAGTTACTTTCCCTGTTCCCTGCTCTGTAAAACGCTGTTTATTTTAATAAATTGCCTGTAGGGGCCCAAAGCCCCTCCAGTTTCTTCAAAAAAAATCTGTTGGAGCCAAATGAGGTGCTACTTCATCAGTTTTGTTTAGGAATGCTGATCTTGATTATTAGCAGAGAAATAGCACACTAGCTACATAAACCAAAGTAATAACAGCCGGATGCACAAACAAATGAGCTGACCATATTCCTTGAGAATATTCATGGTACCACACTCATCAGTGGCTGAGCATGACATTGGTCCGTGATGCTCTGTTCAGTCAAGTATCATATTAGCAGTGCGGTTGGAGCCTGTCCTAGGAGTATATAGAATAGAAGCTGCCTTCTTTTTTTTTAAGCCTAGAAGCTGGCCTTTTTGATTGAAAAGAAAAAGGGTAATATAAAGGCAGACAGCAACCATCAACTGTGGTTCCAAGTGAGCAGAAAAGAAGACAAAGACAGCACGACCCATGTACTGGAAATCTGCAATGAAACTGGTGTGCCTATTTATACACATAAACAATTATTCAGTGGGCACACCAGGCTTTTCTACCATGCATCTTCCTGGTTCCTAGCTCTCATCCTGCCTTCCACTAGTCCACATGCTTAACACAACAAATGTTTGCTTTAAAATGATTAGAGTTGGTGGTTTGGTGCACAATCCTCTCTCCCACAGTGGCTAACTACAGGCTGTAAATTCCTGCTCCTTGTGTATAGGATCTATGTACTCATAACTCATGGATATGCCAGTGGCAATGTAGATATACTACTACTCATGTCTGCATTTTGCGATCCTGTACACTAGGTGCAAAAACATCATATTTTCTCCCTGATAAAGAACACAAGTCTGCAACTGTGGTCATAAGTTTTTACTGGTCCTGAAGATATTTTAGTGCTAGAAATGCCAAAATTATTTTTTGCTAGGCAGTAGTATATTTTTATTCTCCATAACAACCATTTCTTCAAGCAATAACGCTGATAGTAAGCCTGTTCGGTTGACTGGTTCGTTTCGTTGCTGGTTCGTGAAGAAGTACTGCTGGCTGGTTTGTGTGAGAGAAAAATACTATTCCAGCTAAAAATTTACGATCGTTTACGACAAGCCACAGCCAAACGAATAGACTGAGTATCTTCGGGAACAAGATTTTTTTGGTTGATAAAGTAGAGCATCGTGCACGTGAATGGGTCAAGGAGGTAGACCAAAGGGCATATCTGACAATACAGTTAAAAAAAACTAACAAATCACCGTCTACTGCTACCGGTCATTCCATGTTAAACTGTTTTTTACCGTTTCTTTTTGACCGTTTCCTCCTTATCTTCTCCGAAGGAAATAGCAGCAAATCCCAAACGTTAACAACCCAGCCCATATCAGACACGCACGCTGGTCTTCCAAATAAACCGCAACGGTAAAAAGGAAAGAAAATAAATTCACAGTAATCTCTCTGGTCCAGCCCCACAGACAGATTAAGGCTCTGTTTAGTTACAGAAATTTTTGGTTTTGGTTACTGTAGCACTTTCATTTGTATTTGGTAAAAATTGTCCAATTATGGACTATTTAGGCTTAAAAGATTCGTCTCACGATTTCTCGGCTAACTGTGTAATTAGTTTTTTTTTCGTCTACATTTAATACTCCATGCATGTGCCGTAAGATTCGATGTGATGGAAAATCTTGAAAATTTTTGGATTTTGGGTTACATCTAAACGGAGCCTAAATCACACTGAGGGCTGACCAGACCAGTCGTGCAGCATGTAAAACCAAGAGAGAAAATATTCATCCAACAATTTTAAATTTGTGTCTGATGCACCATCACTGTTCTTGTCCCCTGAACTGCACATATCAGACCCGGACCAGTAAAAAGTGAAAGTAACAAAGTGAGGCCTGGTTTAGTTCGCGAAATTTGGATTTTGGGGCTACTGTAGCACCTTCGTTTTTATTTGACAAATAGTGTCCAAACATTGACTAATTAGGCTTAAAACGTTCGTCTCGCAATTTCCCACCAAACTGTGCAATTAGTTTTTCTTTTCGTCTACATTTAATGCTCCACGACGCAGTACAGTAAAACATTCGATGTAATGAGTCTTTATGAAGAATTTTTTTGGATTTTGAAATTGAACTAAACAAGGGCTCAGAAAAAAAACACCCTGTGCCCAAACAAAGCCAGTAGTAACCCCACTGTGATTGTGATTCACACACCTGCTACTCTTGTTGCATGCAGAACAAAGTGTACTCACCTAAAAATATTAAATTGATGCGCCTTAATCTTTGTCCTTTACTTTTCCTATTATAAATAAAAACAAATAAACAATTAATACCCCATCACTCCTCCCCCTTCGCCCCACTCCCGCGCCCCCCCCCCCCCCAGGTGTTAATGTGGTGTTGAGAATGATGATGGCGGCTTAGGCGAGCTAGTGTGGGAGGTGAGGAAGGAGCACCCGGAGCTGGATCTCTCTGTCTCAGGGCTGCAGCTGACTGGCCAAGATCCTCCCTCCTCTGCCCTGCCCTCCATGGTAAGTCCGTTTCTTCTTCGATTTGTGTGGAGTCATTTAGGCAACGGCAATCCCCATCCTGGCATCCTGGGCTGGAAAAGAGTTGGCATTCTTTCCGTTTCTGCGATTGCGTTTATCTTGGGCATGGAAATATGCCATTTTCCCCCGTTGTTTTGTGTGCGCGTGTTTCGCTATTGTTAGCCATTCTCGTGTTCCTCGTGGTCATTGACCAGGGCCGCCAATCTGTGCCCGCATAATCTCTGCATTGGCCCTTCGTTTTGCTGCGGGGATTTGGCCATGGATTCTGTTCTGCCCACTGCTCTTCAGCGGAATGGGGAATGCGTCAAGATTTTCCTTTGCGTTGTGCTTCTTCTTTAGGAAGGAGGACGCGACGAGTTCGTCCTGCCTTTTTGGTAATTTCTGGACCCCATTTCGCCCCTCTTTTCGCCCCCACAGATTTGCCAGGTGAACCCACTGTATGTAGGCCTTGATTTCTGCTTTCCTTTCCTTCTACGGTTGTTGCCTCCATATTCATATTGTCCTCGTTGACAGCAGCAAATGGCGCCCCTGCCTTGAGTAGGATTCAGAACTCGTTCGTCCTAAATATTGTCCTTTTTGTTTTTGTTCTCATTCTCAGCGGTGAGAGCTGTCTCACAGGTCATGGTTCGAAGTAGCCTCTCCGTAGATTTTACGACGGAAAGGCTTGTGTCGGTTTATGCCTTCCAGACCCCACTGGGTCTGCCCTTTTTTTTCTCTCATTGGAGCCCATCTCCGCCACAGCAGCATCCAGTTCATGAAATGAAATGCTTACTGCAGGTGTGGATTTCTTCCCGTGTTCTTCTTTTGGGTACGCGATTTCAGGCCTGGGGTGGTTGGGTCATGGGCGTTCTCTCATCTTTATTGCGTTAGTTGGGGGCTTCTTTTCACAGCCCTCCTTTGCCCTTTTTTTTTTTTTTACCAATTTTTTAACCATTGTTTGATGCTCCATTCGCAGTAATGGAGGTTGCTTCCATTCTGCAGTGATCTTGTTTCTGTGCCTTTGTGTAGCAAGGTGATACACTATTCGAGCTGTTTTTGAGGGTAGGGTTCTGATTCTTCCCTGAAGTATATTTTTCCCCAACAACTTTGGGTCTTTGTGGTGGCAAAATTTGGGCAGTGTTTTTTCTTTCTGTTCTTGAGCAAAATTTTCTGCACATTTTCGGGATGCTCAGGTGTTATTTTCCATCTGGATTTAGTAACTGCTTCTCCTCAAACGGTCAAACCATAACACCAGAATCTTGTGAAAATTATTTGTTTTCTGCGTTTCAAAACCGTCCAATGTTAGGGCAGTAATTTATTGCATGAACGCGTAGCTAATCTTTATCTTTGACCACTGTTTGATGCTATTATTCCCCTCTTCGACTGTGCTGAGAACATGATATGTGGTATGAAGAAATAGGAATAGAGTCATCCTTTCTACCAATTGCAACTTTGATCTGTAAACTTGCGCGACCCAAGCCATAATGGGGCCAACATTTCATTTTTCAGTTCTACGGCCTAGTGCCTGAATTCTAGGAATGCTGTTTTGCGCGTGGTGCTAATTCTGAAAGTTTATGATGTTCTGCAGGTAGTAGGTTGGTGCTAGACTTTTGAGCAGATTCAACTCTAGTTGCTTGGGTCTACTGAATTAGCTTTGAAGCTACAGAAGTTTTCTTAAGAGGCCAGGGAGTGTTGTTCTGCTCTCTTGGCTGGCCTCAATGGCGATGTCGCCATTCAATCCAATGCGCAAGTACTCATGGTGGTGGGATAGTCACATATCCCCCAAGAACTCCAAATGGCTCCAGGAGAATCTCACAGGTAAATTTTCTTGGTTCACTATGGCGATTTCATTCAGTCTAGAAATTGGAGTGATTCTAGTCGTTGCCAGAAATTAGCAACGTGTACATGCCACTATGTACTTGAGTGTCAATATTATGTTTCTGTTACTAGTTTCGGAGGCATCATGTCGCAGAAATTGGAGAAAAAGAACTTCTGCATTACCTATTGTAGCGTCTATTGGGCATGAGGTTATCTTAGCACCGTCTTGTCTATTTTCAAGAATTTAACTGCAATAACATAAGCGTTTAATGCTAAAATACAGATCTAGTTGGATGCCCTTGATTCTGATTATTGTTCAATTAAACTTCTTGTGCAAAAGTCAGCAGATTTGTTGGGGACAAGTTCATAAATAGCTTGTGGCATAAATCTGTACCAGTCATGGGTTGCAGCTATTCTATAATGATTGGACCACTAACTCTGTTGAAACAAATTCAAATCTTGGATACTATGAGAGCTAACTTTCCTACGTTAAAAGCAATAATATTTGGTGGCTGGTTGTTCTTGTGCACTTATCTGGTGGTTTATTTCTTCTTTTGCTGCATTTATTAAACCCTGTACTGAATCAGTGTTTGTTAATGCGTGGTCACACAGATATGGATAGCAAAATCAAAGTGATGATCAAGATTATCGACGAGGATGCTGACTCATTTGCCAGAAGAGCAGAAATGTATTACAAAAGGCGCCCAGAGCTGATGTCTTTGCTTGAGGAGTTGTACCGTGCTTATCGAGCTTTAGCTGAAAGATATGATCATGCAGCTGGAGAACTCCGACAGGCCCATAAAAAAATGGCAGAAGCATTTCCCGATGAGTTTCAGTTGGACTTTGATGATGACCTGCCTACAGAAACTGCATCTACTGAAACTGAAACAGACAATCGAGATATGACTCCATTTTTCCTTTCATTCATCAAGGCTGGTGATTCGAAAAAACGTGCTAAAGGTATGCCCACGAAATTTAATTCTTCAATAATTGGAATATCCTAATAAATGGTGGGTCAACCTAATATATTAGTATTTCAGATGAGCAGGACCATGAGAAGCTGCAGAAAGAGATATCAAGTTTGTCACAGGAAAATCAAGAACTCAAGAAGAAAATTTCATCAGTGTTAGAAAAGAGCAATATGGCTGAATCTGAAGTTCTTTCTCTCAAGGAGGTCCTTGCAGAACAAGAAGCAGAGAAGGAAGCCGTATTTTCACAATGCCAGCAATCCAGTGATCGATTACAGAGCCTCAAGTCTGAAATATTGCATACCCAGGAGGAGTTCAATAGACTGAAAGAGGAGATGCAAAATGGACTACAGAATTTGAGCACTGCAGAGGAGCGGTGCCTTCTGCTTGAGAGGGCTAACCAGAATTTGCTTCTGGAGCTAGATAAGCTGAAGCTTGCCTCAAAAGAGAAGCATGACGAGCTAAATGAGAAGCACATTGAGTTGGAGAAGCTTAGTATCTCTATACAAGAAGAGCAACTCAAGAGCATGCAAGCAGAAATGGCCCGGCTATCTGTGGAGAAGCAATTGACACAAGCACAAGAAAAGCTAAGACTTGTGTCTCTTGAAAAGCACGGGGAAGCAAGTAAGATTGAGAACATTGAAGCAACCAGAGTTCAACTTCAAAAGGAATTGGAAAGTATTCGAGAAGAGAACCGGAAATTGGATGATCAAAACCACTCCTCTACCTCTGTGATAATTCGTCTTCAAGATGAGATAATTTCTTTGAAGAATGCACAGCGGCGTCTTGAAGAGGAGGTGTCTCGGCATGTGGAGGAGAAAAAGGTGCTTCAGCATGAGCTTTCACACCTCAAAGATAACAAGGGTGACTTGGACAGGAAGCACTTTTCGATCAAGGAGCAAATACAAGAGGTGAATTTCAATGTAGAATCACTCCAATCACTTGCTCAAGAGGTGAGGAACGGAAATGTTGAGCTAAAAGAGACCATAAAAAATCATGAGGGTGTAAAAGCCTTGTATGTTGATAATCTGATGCTGCTGGAGAGGACGCTGGAGAACAATGCTCATTTGGAGAGATCGCTTTCAGCTGCAACTACTGAAATTGAAGGATTGCGGGAGAAGAAAGCTGCATTGGAAGAATCACGCAAGCACCTTCATTCCAAGGTTAATGGGCATCTGTCTGAGAGAGCCATGTTTGTTGCACGGATTGAGGGTATTTCTCATACCATGGAGAAGCTATCAGAGAAGAATGTCTTCTTGGAAAATTTGTTATCTGACAACAATACAGAGCTGGAGTTGCTTAGTAGGAAGCTGAAAGATTCAGAGGAATCTACTCATACATTTCGCAACCAGAATTCTGTACTTCGATCTGAAAAAAGAACTCTTATGCGTGAGGTATGATGCTTGAACTCTCTTGCTTTCTGTTTATTTTTCATCCTAGTTTGAAAACTGTGTCAATTGATCCCTGGATACTTTCATGTTGTCAGGTGGATAGCATCAATAGTGCTCTACTCAGTTTGGAAACCCAATATGCAGAGTTAGAAGGGCGATATTTGGATCTTGAGCAAGACAAAGACAAGGCCCTCAATGAAGTGATCAAACTACGAGAGCTGTTGAGGCTAGAAAAAGAAAAACACAAAGAAGTCACCAACTCAGGCATGACTCAATTCAGTGCTATACAGAAGCAGATAGGCCTACTTCTAAAAGAAGTTCACCGCAGGGAGGACCAGCTTCAAGAGGAGGAGCACAAGATTGTTGAAGCTCAGACTGAGATTTTTATCTTACAGAGGTGCTTAGGCGACATGGCTGAAGCAAATGCTGATGTCTTGGCACGATTGCAGAAGCAACAAGTGGTATGCAAGGATCAAGAGGAGAAAGCTGATTTCTTGTCACAGAACAACCAGCAGCTGACTGAAGGGATAGGTTCTGTAGTTGAAGTACTGAATCTGGATGAGAAATACGGATCATTGGATCTGATGAAGGTTGATGTTGTTGTGCAGCTCCTCTTGCATGAGATCAAGTGCCTGTTGAATACTATTTCTGATGCTCAGGATGTGAAACAGAACCAGATCCTTGAGAAGTCCCTTGTTGTAACGCTTCTCGAGCACTTTGGGCGAGAGGTGGCTGACCTGAGGTCAGAAAGGAGTGTTCTGAAGCAAGAGTGGCAAACAAAGAGTGAGGAGCTGCTGAAGCTGCAGGGTGAAAGGCATGACCTCCTAAAGATCAGCTGTGAGCTACGGAAGGAAATGGAGACTCAGAACATAAAGTGGATGAACTGAAATCTGAGGCAAAGTTCTTGGTTCGACAACTGTCGGAATTGCAAGAGTCACGGCAATCGTTGCAAGCAGAGATTGTCAAGCTGATTGAAGAGAACACTTCACTCTCTAGCAAAGTTTATGGCTCCAAAGAGAAAGAGAAGTCATTTGATGATGATTTCAGCACACTTATTGGTGAGGCGGTCAGGACAGATATCCTTGGTGTCATTTTTAGAAGCCTTCATGAAGAGAGGACATCACAATTGCAGTGTTTGCATGAGGATTTTGGGTCTCTACATGCAGCAGGCAATGAGCTTTATCAGGAAATCAAGCTGATGAACAAGAAGCTCGGAGACCTACAGCTTGAGAACAACTATCTTGAGAAGGAACTCAGTAGAACTCTAAGCATCTGTGACGGCTCTGGTACAGAAATTTCCTCTGGAAGAAGGCGCGCTATGAGGAGGGATACAAAGCTATTAAAATCTGGCAGGAAAAGCCAAGAGATTGGCCAGAACATGGAACAGCGAAAAGAAGTTGACAATGCTGGTCTCGAGAAATCGAATGAAATGCTTAGAGAGGAGCTCCAGAAGTTGAAAATGAACTGCAAGTGCTTAGGAGCAAGGAACAGCCTGTGATTGATGTGAAATCTTGTGATGCAGAGATCACTAAACTGCTGGCCAACATGCAACTGGCCACAGCCAATGCGTCTCTCTTCAAGGAGAAGGTGCTTGATCTCATCGTGACATGCGAGAGTTTTGAGATCAGTGACATGGTGCAGAAGGAGGTGCTGAAAGAGGAGATCACCCGGAGAAACTCTTATGTGGATGAGCTCAAGGACAAGCTAAATGCCATTGAAATTGAGAACAGAAGGCTGAAGGTTGATCTGAACGGCGACTTCACACTGCTCGGAGCATTGCAAACGGAAGTTGATGCCCTAGAGAAACAAACGTTGTCTCTGGCCAAGGATTGCCTGCCTCCAAGCATGCTCAAGAAGGAGGTATACATATATTCTGTTATCAGATTATTCAGGAATCTCTAATTTCCTTGCTCATGACTCATGAGACTCGCTCTGCTTATTGATTTTCCCAGGAGAACCCATTATCACCTCAACTGTCAAAGATTGCTGTGAGGCCAAACGAAGATCAAAACACCACAAAGATGGTGAAGGACATGGAACTGCAGAAACTCCATGGAACCATCAAAGCACTTCAGAAGGTGGTGTCAGATACAGGGTGGTCCTGGAGCAAGAGAGGCTCGACTTCAACAGCAACCTCCAGGACGCAAGGAAGCAGATCGAGATGCTGAAGCTGAAGGAGATCCTGGACAGCGATGCCAGCGACGTGAACTACGAGCGGATGATGAAGGACATCCAGCTGGACCTCGTCCAGACTCCTAGCCGGCGAGCTGCAGTCTCACACGGGCGCCACAGGAAGAAGAACTCAGTGGCCGCGGCGGCTCAGTCTGACGACAAGATGCTCGCGATGTGGAGCGTGGATAGGGTGAGCAGTGGCAGCCGGCGGTACGATGTGGACCTGCGGCCGCCGCAGAGCGAGGCGGCCGAGAACGACAAGGGAAAGAAGCGGTCGTCGTCCGAGCCGGTGGTGACCGTGAAGGACCTCAGCGTGGACAAGCAGGAGGTCCTCTCACGGCCGATGGTGGCGGCAGCGGCAGCGACGGCCACGACGACGGAGCCACACCGGGAGTGGAAGAAGAAGGTGATCGACCGGCTATCCTCGGAGGCGCAGCGGCTCCGGGACCTCCGGTCCATCGTCCAGGAGCTGCGCGCCGGCGTGGAGGCGTCGTCGGACGCGGAGCTGGACGGCGTGAAGGCGCAGATGGCCGACGCGGAGGACGCCATCGCGGAGCTGATCGACGCGAACACGAAGCTGCTGAAGAAGGCGGAGGAGTTCACGTCGGCGGGCGACGGCGGCGCGGCGACGTGGACCTGCGCAGCCGGAGCCAGCGCAAGATCCTGGAGCACGTGCGCAAGATGTCGGAGAAGGCCGGGCGGCTGGAGCTGGAGCTGCAGCGGTTCCAGCACGCGCTGCTGCGGCACGAGGAGGAGCGCGCGGCGCGGCGCGCGGCCAAGGCGGCGGCCACCACCGTGCAGGTGCAGCGGCGGTCGCGGGTGCAGCTGGTGGAGTACCTGTACGGGCGGCGGCGCGACAGCCGGCGGCCCAAGCAGAAGGCCCGCGGGCCGTCCTGCTGCATGAGGGCCAAGGCCATCGACGACTGACCGACGACTCTGCTCTCAATTTAGTCACCCAAGCTGGTTAAGGTTAATTAATCTGGAGAAGATGCAGTAACTTTGTTTTTTGTTTAAAATCGTGTCGTCCTAGTAGGTAAATAATTATTACTGGACTGATCTTAGTATGTCGTTTTTTTTTACCTAAAGTAAAAGTAAGGTCTAAGATGTAAATGGTAGTAGCCTAGTAGGCAGCCATGACAGTGGCAACTGTTCTTCCTCGTCAGTAAAATTTTCGCATGTAAAATTTCAGACGGTAATCTTCACGCCGTGTTTAGTTGAAGGGCAAATTCCAAAAAGTTGCTACAGTACCTGTCACATCGAATGTTTGCGGCCCGTGCATGGAGTATTAAATGTAGACGAAAAGAAAAACTAATTACATAGTTTGGTGGGAAATTACGAGACGAACGTTTTAAGCCTAATTAGTCAATGTTTAGACACTATTTACCAAATAAAAACGAATGTGCTACAGTAGCCCCAAAATCCAAAATTCGCGAACTAAACAAGGGCTCAGTCTCATTGCTTTCCAGTTCTCATGCTTGTTCTTCGAGCTACCAAGAGGCGATTTTGGTGGTTTTATTATTTTTTTACCTTTTTTTTCCGTGAGAGCTAAATGCCTGCATCTGCAAATGGACTTGTCTTTTGATTTCTACATAAGTGAACAGTAAATTCAGCTCGCCTTCAAAACGCTTGAATTGAGTCGCTTGCAGAATGATATGAACAGGTCGAATCTCTCTTTTGCCCCTTGTTTATGGGGTCACACTGTCAGAAGCTCTCTAGCAGTCTCTCTGCAGATGTACTTCAATAGTCGAAAAAGAGAGAGAGTACTTCAACAGCCCCTGCTCGAGGCTCGAGCATTCATCAAGAGTAGTAGGAGCCTCTCCTACTCCTCTCCTTCGCCCCTCGTTCCTGCGGTGCTGTTTAGGGCTGGACGGCTAGCGCTTTGCCTGTGCCATGTTTGGAACTGCGCTTATATAAGAATTGATTATAATCTAATTGTGATTTTTCTTATAAATCGCGGTCTAAAAAATCTCAGTATAGAAAATCAAATATGTTTGGCAATCTTGATTATTATGGCAACCTGAGGTGTAAAATGACCTTTGTGCCCTTCTTCTTTTTCTTCATCATCGGGTGGCGCCACCCGTATCAAGCTTGTTCTTCGCGGATCTATGGCACCCGTCTCGGGGATCTCCTCACCTCTCCTCCAACACATAGGGCATACTTTGAGGGCCGACACATCCACGAGGGCTTCTCCGACCGAGCCTCGAAGCGCAGCACGGGGAGCGCTTGAGGCGCCTCTGACCGAGCCCAACGACGGGAGCGAACGGGGAGACCAACAACGGGAGCAAACGGGAGTCACCGAGCCCACCGCAAGAGTGGATGGGGAGGAGAGGTCGCCTCCAACCAAGCTGGCGGCAAGGAAGCGAAATGGAGGTTGTTGTGGTAGGTAGGCGCACCTAGACTCCGCTCCCCCTCAAGAGGGAGGCAGGCGATTACGACGGAGAGGAGTAGAGGAGCGGATGGGGGACCGGACTGGAAGGGTAACGGGCGGAAAATCCCTCACGGTGGAGAAAACGCGAGGGAGGCTGCGGTACACAAAACGCCGGTGCTAGTTAAAACTTGGATTGTTTTGGTTGCCTGATTCTCAGACAATCTAAAATAATTGTGGCGTTTGGGTGGAATTCTCAATTATTTTCACCTACAATCTGATTATAAACGGTCCCAAACATGCCCTATGTGTGGGCGTGTGGTTATGTGCTCTGCGGGATAGGAGCTTGGGCCTTGGGCCAACGGGACATGGGAATACGACATGCAGTAGTGGGCTATGGGAGAAAATCAGGTAATTTGGATGAATCGAGTACCGGATAGTGATACCTGAATTTCCCAAAATAAAATCGGGTACCTGGACTTCATACCCAAGATGAGGATCAAGTATAGTTCGGTTCAGGTTCAGTTAAATCGGGTATCGGGTCTGGGTATGGAGTATTTTATCCAGTCCTAGCCAAACAGGACCTAAGCCAGGTCTAATATAATGTACTTTCTTTGTTCTAATAAATTAAAAATTTTCTAGATATATAATAACCTTTGCTACGTTTCTAGATATATGCTATGTCTAGAGTTCAAAAAAAAAATATGCTATGTGTAGATATATAGTAGTACAAACTATATATATTTAGAAAAGTCAAAACAATTCACAATTTTAAACAGAGAGAGACTATAGTATGCAATTGGTAGATTTAATGAGCGTTGGGTTGAACTAACCAAGATCGTAAAATGGCACTATAGCAGTAGGTGACATGGCATATATGGCAGATCAATACTTTACATTACATAATAATAGAAGAACCACCACGTTTATAATCGACAGGGTCTAGTAGAAATTATACAAACAAACCTTATTATTATACACAGTGCAAATTCTAACTATACCGATTTCCTATGTACCACTAAAAAACTAGAGTTCCCTTCACTAGCACCAATTTACTTTACCCCTCTTGTACGTGCCATTCCGGGGAATCACGTTGCTCTCTGTCACGTTAGAGCTACTAGTTTGGTATGTCATTTTCATCAAAAGATGCCCAAGTACCCCTGTCTTCCTCGTTGACCAATGCAAGTGGTCACCAAGGTGAGGCGCTACAACTCCGATCCACCGACCTGGATCGGATGTGCCCCAGCCCTCTGGACGGACTACGTGCCAAGGCAAGCAAGCTTGGAGCTTGGCGGCGGAGAGCTCTGGGCGCGGGTCGTCGTCGAAGCCAACCGTGCCCGCGCCGCTTACCTGGCCATTGTCGCCATGCATGATGCATCCTGGTCGGACTAAGTTCCTGCGGGAGTATGTTACCTGTCCATGGTGCACGATCGGATGGAGGCAGTGTGTTCCTCAGGTGCGCCGAGCAGCGCGCTGCATGCATGCTGTGCGTCACACCACTCCCGATCCCGCGTGGTTCGTAAGTTCTCTCCACACAGGCGAGCTAGTGTGGAGGAGTTATTTCTTGAGCCTAGAAGAGCTGATCGATCCTATAGAAAATTAATGAAGGAAATTGTTAAAAGGTCCTGGAGGAGAGAGAGGAGTTCATTTATCTCTGCGCATGAGTCAGCAAATATGGAACACGAGGTGGAGAATTATGTTTTTGACATGAAATGTGGTTCGGCACCGGGTCATATTTAGTACTACTCCCTCGGTCCTAAAATAATTCAATTTCTAGAATCACTTTAAGAAGTCAAATTGTTTGCCCATCTTTATATAAAAAATGGTAACAACATCTATAACATCAAAGAAGCACATGTGATTGTATTTTATGATGTTTCTAGTGATACTAATTTAGTAATTTTGGTCAAAATTAAAATAGTTTTACTTAAGACACCTCTAGAGTTGATTTAATTTGGAGTAGGAGTTAATTACTATAGATGAGATTGTGGGAAATGATTAAAGGGGATCTGATGGACATGCTGAATGACTTCTACGTGGGGTACCTAGACATTAGTAGGCTTAATTATACACTACATGAACGGAAGGGCACTATATTCAAAATCGATTTTGAAAAGGCACATGATGCTGTGAAGTGAATAGGAATTTTGTGGATGAGTTTATGATGAGGAAATGGATCTTGATAAGAAAGTAATTACATGGATTATGAGCACAATCAGAGGGGCAGAGTTTGTATCAGTATTAATAGGGTGAATGGCCCATATTCAAGACTGATAGAGGTGGTAGTGGTTTGGACAATCCAAAGTCTACTTATAGACTTTAGTTGCTCTGGATGCACTTGCATGGGATCTATTTGGGTTTGAATGTGTCCACGCTCATTTGATCCAACAAAATCCAACATCTGCTGGACAAATCAAAAAGTCCAGTGTCTATTGGATTTATGTGGACTTGACTACTTGAGAGATCGACCAGTATGGGGCTCATGTATATATATCTAGTCAAACCGATTTGCACAGAGTAGTGGGCAATCATATGAAGTCATTTCTAAAAATTTCAGTCGTTTTTGCTACAATTTTAAAGTGTGAATTCGAGGTTTTTAATTTTAGGGTTTGGCTTTCGACGCGGGCCCCATATATATTTAGTCACACAGGTCTACACAAAGTAGCGGGCAATCTTATTAAGCCATCTCCAAAAAAGATCAGTCACTTAAGGTACAGTTTGAAAGCGAGATTTTTAATTTTAGGGTCTGGCTTTTGGCATAGGGCCCACGTATATATCTAGTCACACTGGTGTACTGGGCAATCGTAGTAAGTCATCTCCAAAGATTTCGGTCGACCTCGCTAAAATTTTAAGGTGTGAACATGAGGTTTTCAATTTTACGGTCCAGCTTTTGATGCGGGGCCCACTAATATATCTAGCTAGACTGGTCTACACAAAGTAGCCGGTAATCATATTAAGTCATCTCAGAAAATTTCAATCGATCTCGTTAAAATTTTAAGGTACGGTGTGAACACAAGATTTTTAATTTTAGGGTTTAGATTTTGACGTGGGGCCACACATATATATCTAGTCATGGTTGTCTGCACAAAATAACCGACAATCATATTAAGTCAACTCCAAAAAGTTTTGGTCGATCTCACTAAAAAATTCTAAAGTTTTCCATTCCATTGGAGGTGTGTTTGGTTTACAAGAATTACTTCTCAACCCTGAAAAAAAAAGGAATGCAGAAGCAGTAGTCTAGTCACAGAGGGAGTAGAAAGGAAAGGGGTCGTGAAATCAAAACCAAACTTCAAGCAATCAAGCAGATGCAGAAAGCAGCCGAACAGAAGTCATGGCCACCATATTGAGCGTAGAATTGGGTAATCCCAGCACAAGCAGGCCGAGCGGGCGGTAGAATTGCGTGGGCCGGCATGCATAGCACTTGGCTAGAGGCGTGTGCATGCATTTGGGTCCGCCGTCGCATGCACCTGCACGTACTGATCTTTTTTCACGTTGCAGAGATGCAACATTACATCAAGGATTAACAAGTACCGACCTGGGGTTAATGATTGCAAAACCAATTTTTGGTAATGGTCCGGGAGGGAGGCCTGAGTAAAGATGACCGGGCAAGGGGATACGGTGACGAAGTGAAGGTGACGAGTGCCGCGAGACGCGCATTTCGATTTCCCCAGACGCGCGCGACCTCCCTCTCACTCCCCCGGCGCGTTTACAAATACGGCAAAGCAACGCGATCGAGCCAGCAGAGTCTCGGCGAGTCAGAGAGGGCGAGCAGTCAGTGAACACCTAGTGAGGAAAAGGCGGCCATGGAGCGCGAGCGCGAGAGCGCCGCCACCTCGGCGCCGCCTCCACGCACCTCCACCTCGCCGCCGCCGCGCGCTACATGGCGGAGGCTGGCGACATCGAGATGGGGCACGGAGGACACGGTGGCGGTCTGCGGCACACGGAGGACACGGCGACGCGCTGGGGCACGGAGGACATGGCGACGACGACGACGACGACGGGCTGGGGCACGACGACGAGGGGACGACGGGCTGCTGGGGTTTGTCATCTGCTTTATGGTCTTCAATCAGCTCCTCATCTGCTTTCTGGTTTGGGGATTTCAATCCAAGTGGGATTAGGACTCGTCTGGAACATGATATGCTCGTCTGGGGTTTTGAATCCGTGGTCTGGGGTTTTGAATCCGTCCAGATTAGGGCTCCTCTAGAACTTTTCATCATCTGCTCGTCTGGGGTTTTCAATCTGTGGTCTGGGGTTTAGGCCTCCTCTGGAACTTTTCATCATCTGCTCGATCTGCTACGTCCGTATTAGGCCTCCTCTGATCTGATTAGGTCTCTTCACTGCAGGAGTTGCTGGGGCTGGACTGGCGGACCCAGGATTTTTGCATAGGGTATGCGCCACAAAAAAAATTCTTATACAATTCGGTAAACCATTTATAATTCAGTAAAATCATATTATAATTCGGTAAAACGACGTCAAATCTTAATATAAATTGTTCAAATGAAATACAAATACTTCGAAATATAACAATAGGAGACTTACAATATTACTTGTTTATCCGCCGCTTTCTCAATGACATGAATGTCTCCATTATATCATCTTCATTAACTTGGAAGAAAATATCCCGCTCAATAAATGTGACTAGACAATCATCCAAAACAGTATCACCTATCTTATTCCTTGACTTTGTTTTCACTATAACCAATGCAGAAAATACCCTTTCAACACTCGCAGTTGCCACTGGTAAAAGCAATATCAATTTGAGAAGCAAGTACACCATATCATACACTTTGTGCCTCTTTGTTTCAACAAGCTTAACTGAGAGATCAACAATGTTGTCTAGACCTTGGAAGCTAGCATTTTGT